CAAATTAGATTCGTAAGACTTTATTATAGTCAAATAAAACAACAACTTTGAAAAAATAATTTTATTTACCTTGCCTTAAAGAAGTTTTTCGGCAACAATCGTTGAATTGACACACTTTCAATTAATTAATGTCACAGTTCTTAATTGAACACATTTTTTTAAATGAGCACAAAAAATAATCATAATCATAATAGAAGAATGACTGAAGACGGAATGACAATTTGTTTTATTTGGTACAGTGTTGCCAGAATATGTTTTTGTTATATACCAGATTTGTATAAAAAATGTACCAGATTTCTTAAATGTATCAGATTTTCCGAATTCTATTTGCAGTGACATCTAATTCATTGAAGGGGAAAAAAGGGGGGTCTTTATTGATAGCGAACCCAAACAAGACACATAATATGTATATTTTACACGTGAACATTGATGCACGCAGAATGTACTACATCTAGTACTAGACTGGCAACACTGGTTTGGCAACCTTGTTTGTGAGCGGCGCGCCAATTAATGTGTTCTTGACAGTTTGAAGGATCTGTTGACATGTTGTTTTCTCTTTTTAGTAATATGCATTCGCCATATCGTCTCACTCGTGTTAGGATCACTTATCATAATGCGCCACAGACACAGTATACTTAAGTATACTATGCCATAGAGACGCCAGAAGACAATGATGTACAAAAAAATATAGATTAACACGTATGAAAATAAAAATATTAAAATTAAATTTATAATTTTGTTATTTATGTAATTTTAAAATAATGTGTTTTTATGAAATTTATCTGGGTGTTCACTGCAGAAATGAACCAAAGGAGAAACCGCCTCTAAAACAAATTAAAAAGAAAGCAGTATTGTATAATTTTAACCGAAATGCTACAATTTTTAGATATGAATGTACATCAATTAGAGGGATATAATAGTTTTTATAATAATGGTGATTTAAATAGAAATGATGGTATTGTAATATATCTTAAGAGTAAATATTTAACTTAGAAATAGTTCAGTTGGAAGTTACCAACATAATTAAATTAAAAGTCTCTATTAATAACTACCAAAATATAAAAAAAAAATAATTTAATTAGGTTTAATTTATATTATATAATATTTAGTTAGGTATATTTTAAATGTATTGGGTTTTATGTTTCTTACATTTTTTGTGGTTTTTTTCTTTTTTATGGTTTTTATCTTTTTTATGGTTTTTGTCTGTTTTTTATTTTTTTGTCTTTATGTTTTTTTATCATATAAAATTTAATTTTACACAAATATATTAATAACTGAAACAGGTGTTTTTCACCTATCAGTTCATACTAATTGTTCACACTGTTTAGTTTGTACACACGTTGTAAATGTTTGTTGAGAATTAATTATTATTTTATTTTATAATTAAAAAATCAAAATTGTTTAAAAATTTATTTTCTATAATAGTTTTTATTCAAATGTTAAAATAAAATAAAATTCTATATTTTGATCACTCTAATTTTGTCATAACTTCCTGTTTTCACATACCTAATTCGCATTGTTCTTTCCTTGATAAATATTATATAAATTACTAAATTGGAATACACGAATTCAAGCATGTCATCTACAGAAAGTTCTGCTACAATAGTCTCAAAGTTTATACTAGAATATTGCGATTTTACCGTTGGTTTCGCTTCCTTAAGGCTACACTAGACATGTTTATAGTAATCCTGCGAGAAATTCCTTTATGCATTTCTCCGATATTAATATTCTCCTTATGTGGACAGACCTCGTTACACTAATACAACAATTTTAGTATTAGTATTATTACTTATAAATTCAACCCGTCGATTCGCTTCGAGCTATACCTGTCTGAAAATATTACTTGCCCACTCGCACTTTATATACATATACAAAAGAGGATAATTTTATGTTTCGAAGTTTAAAGCAATGTTTATTAAATTAAAATGGCTATCAGGATATTAATGATATTTTATGGACTATGATTAAGAGGCCATGCAGCCAGGAGCATTTCGACGTAAAATATTTCAATACATTTTAAAATTTCATAGCAAATTTCAATTTATTTTATATTTAGCTTATTTTAATTATTTTAGAAAAAGTTTCGTCGGAAGTTAAAAAAATTCCTATGTAGAAAGATTATTTTACCGCTAGAACACTAGAATAATATTTTTAAAATTAACAAAAATCAACAGAAAGCGTTGAAGTAGTCGCTAAATGCCAAATGTAGGAAATTCGTGTTAAAAAATATTCTAAACAAAAATAACGAAAATAACAATTAAATTTCTATTTGCGATCTACGATATATCAAATTCACAATTTTTACATTTAAAATGTTTCAAAATCATTAAAAATAGGTAATTATGTTTAAAAAACCTACTAAAAAACTTGTGTAAATACTAAAAACCCTATTTTGCAACAAAACCAGAACAATAATTATTATATCAACAATAATTAGTAGAAAACCATTAAAATAATCGTTAAAACGCTAAACAAATCCTTAAATTAGACGTTTCAAATAGTTAAAGTCTAAATAAGTGCAAACTAAAATTCGTTAAAAAATATTTAAAATTTCTAATAAGCCTAAACAGTGCGAAAAAGCCAAAATAACGAAAAATTGAGAAAAAAATAACTAATGGTAGCGGAGACAGTGATATTTCTATAGTTTATTTGAAAATGCATGATTGCACAGCTTTTATGGCAAAGGTCTATATACAGGATTGTTCAAAGCAGAAGAAAAGAAAATATTGATAACTTTTTATCCGAATTTTCACTAGATTTTAGTATGACCACCCCAAAAACTCTAAGGAATTAAACAATAATTATATACCTCATTAACGGGGAACACGAAATTACTTTAATATAAATAATGGTAGACTGTCAATATTAAGTATCCACATTTATTTTTATAAAAATAGTATAATAGATATTAGGTGAGGACATTTCCTTAAAATTTAATAATAAATATACAAACAAATTTATATGATATACTAAAAAAATATTTCCAAAAAAATTCTTTGCAAAAAAATCATATTCCGTTTTTAGAAATACGGTGTGATTCCATATAAAATTTGTTTTAGTTTCGGGTACTAGCGTCATATAAACTTATTATAATTAATATAAACATAGAGTTACATACCTAAATAAATAGGTCGTTTTCTTCCAATAAGCAGCCATCATCATCAGTTTCCTCACTACCCAGTTAAAATGTCTTATTTTTTTTTTCGCGACATATCCCTTCATTTGAACCCATATTAGTTCAATGGGGTTAAGTTCACAGTGATAAGGTGATAACCGCAACACTCTAACTCAATGTTATTTTCCTATTTCATCTACACTATACTTCTTAAATTTTCGTAAATGTTGTTTACATAACTACAGTATCTCTTTTTTTAGTAATCCCTCTTCTGCGACTATTTATTTAGATATTAGTCAATCGGAGAGATCTTGCTCTTTTCATTTAGGTTCCTTTGGTCTTAAGTGGTAACTGGCATTGTCCATAACTTATACAGAATTGGTCCGTAATAAATCATTTTGCTGAAATATTCTTTAAAAACATCAGCAGTCATTTCTTCATGGTAGTCTTTCGTAGAATTTGAAACAAATTCTAACAAGCCTCTATCAACAAATCCTTTATCTCCTCCAAAAAACGGCGACCTTTACCATTTGGAAATTTTAAGCCAGTAGACAAACCTTCTATAAATGCATGACAAGCATTTGTAACCTGTTTATCTTGCCAAACTTTTTTACAAAATGTCCTTCATTTATCCATGTTTCATCCAAATAAAATATATTTTTGTCTTCTCTTCCTAATTTTCTAAGTTCCCTTAAATATTGCCCCTTCAATAAATAATTTCATCTTTCTCTATGACCGTAGATTTTCTATCGATTTTCTTCCAAACGAAGTTTATTTCATGTAAAGTTTTCCAAAATTTGTCTTTTTTAACGTTTGGAAAAGTTTCGTCTCCATTAATGTCTACTAAAAATTTATTCAAATTAGGTATCTTTTTGTAAATAAAACTAGTGCACTGTTGTTTGGATTAGTTGTTTCATTGTATTTGAATGGGTTTTATCTCAGTTGACGTTTTAGGTGCTAGTGTTATACTTCCATCCTTTCGTTGCTTCAAAAGTCTATAAATAGTTGCTTCTCCAAGTCCGGTTATATTTGAACACTTAGAAAATAGAACAGTACTATTAGACCGGGAGCCGAGAGGGTTTTTGCATGTATCATAGGCCCTACGCCAAGGCTTTAGAAGTTGATAGACAACGTTATTCCCCACTTTGAATTCCCGGTATAGCACCCCTAAAGTGTAGCTTTTAGGGGGTTGAATGTTCAAACGTGTAATTAATATCCATGCCCCTGGATCATGGGTCCTACATTGGTTCTTGTTTTATGACATCAAGGGGATTGCCAAAGTCCGCGATCTCAATATACCATATCAATATACCATATCAATATGCCATATCAATATGCCATATCAATATGCCATATCAATATGCCATATCAATATGCCATATCAATATGCCATATCAATATGCCATATCAATATGCCATATCAATATGCCATATCAATATGCCATATCAATATGCCATATCAATATGCCATATCAATATGCCATATCAATATGCCATATCAATATGCCATATCAATATGCCATATCAATATGCCATATCAATATGCCATATCAATATGCCATATTAATATGCCATATCAATATGCCATATCAATATGCCATATCAATATGGCGTTACTAAAGGTTCGCCATATTTTCCGAAACGTGTAATTTTTCCACTGTATACATGGATCATGGGCCCCACGCAGTTGGTTCGTGATCTTATTTAATAATAAATAATTTTAATAATGAACTGTAGAACAAAGATTTCAAAACGCCATACTTCTGGGGCGTCGCCAAGTGGCCGTCATAATGGGCCAAACATGTTATTTTTAGCAATGAACATGTATAATAGGCCTCACTATGGAAATCTATCTCCTTTGTCCTAAACATCATATAATTGGCAGATCTTCATGCAATGACTAGATGCGATTATATCCCAGCATTGTACCGCAAAGGAAACAAGAAGCTGTTGCAAATTGTGTTGCAGAGTGTGGAATTCCAAGATGCTTTTATTAACAGCGTGAAGAAAATTTTTCCATGCTTTTACGATTTGTGTGCAGGTTTGTTTTTTATTCCTCTATTATATAGAATAATTAACAAGTCATACATCGATTCGTACGAAACGTTATAAATTCTTGCAGGTTGTATAACAAAACCACATAAACGACGTTAACGAAGTCAAATTGGCTCTATTTTTAAAATCGTACATCATGGAGAGTGATAATCATTCAACAAGACATTACGGAACTTTGATGCCTTGACTATTCCAGCTATATCCACTTATATCAACAACTATTGCGAGTATCTTACGTTGCCGATATTTGGTGTAACGCCCATTTGAAAGTACTAAGAGTGCACGAAAATGCTTCTTATCATGATTGGAATTTGTCTGATAATGGCTATACTTTTAAAAGGTTTGAGGTTGGAGCTATGCCTAACACTATAAATGAAATATTTCTGCAAAATATTGAGACTGGGGAGTGTAACCAAGAAGAACAGGAAACAACACAAACCATCGAGCAAGGTTATTGTAACGTTTGTTTATTTTATTTATAGTTTATTTATTTAAAACACTATTTTTACGAATAAATATAACACCCTGTGAATAGGTATGGTATAATTTGTAAAGTTTTGTCCAAGGGCAGGCGCGCTGAACAAATATTCAATAAAATAATAAAACGTGTAGTTGGAAAAGGTTTTATTAAGAAAGATCAACAAGAGCACTCTTGAAAGATTATAAGTGAATATTCGGGGAGTTCCTTTTGGTCTTCGTTGACGAGCGGTCGAAATTATTCGTATTAAGTAGATTCCTTTTTTTGTGTCCGAAAGTAGAGTCAGGGGTCGTGATTAGTTTGTTTTAAAAAACCATAGTAATAAAAGTAACGTTTGCTTCCGCCAGCCTTGCAGCCCAACAAATTGAATATAATGCTTATGTAAGTAAATAGTTTTAAGTAGTTATATTTAGTTATTGTGTAGTCAGTGAAGACTACGTGATTGCGGAAGCAGTATTAGTTGTTTTTATTTGTTAAATAAACCACAGTTATTTGTTTTACGCTTGTTTCAATTTTCTTTGGTTTAGGAAAATTTACGATCATTCAAAGGCGGGGGTATTGGCTTAATCCTATCTCTGAGAGAGATACTGCCAAAGGGAATAGTTCCTGTATGGCAAACCCTTTCTCTGTCCTCTGAATCATCGTTAGGAAGTTAGGGTCCCTTCTGAACTCAACCCCCTACCGTATGTTGTCTACAGGCCAATTTAAATACAAATATAAATATACAACTCGTGGTTACCGCTAAGAGTGGACTTAAGGGTCAGTCAAAAGGGCCTATAATCTCACTCTTAACACTATTTACAATTTAATTATAATGTATTAATTTATGATACTTAGACACTATAATAACTCACAATCCCAATTTATTTAGTGTCCAACACGTAAATTCCAATCTGTCGACAAACTCGCGCTATTTACATAAAACCAGCTCTGTACCAGAACACTCTAAGTGACCCAGAACGATCGGGAACTGCCTCTATAAGACTTATACGCCGCAAAGGGATCACTCCGGTAGTTTGTCGAAGCGGTATATTTAAAAGACAAAATTTTTAATAACAATAATAATATTAATAATAATAATAAATGAACGAAGATATTACTTTAGTCATTCAATCATGCAATACTGACTTGAACTGAAATTAACGGATCAATGCATTTATAGAAACAGCTAGTTCTGACGAAGAAACAAATGAAGATGAGGAAGACGACGCTATATCTGATGGCATTTTAGAAACGGATGTGGATGCATTTGATTAAAATACAGACCTATCAGATGACGTTTGATTTTTAAAAATAAATTTCAAATAAACTTGGGTAGGTACTTTTAGTTAATACAGAAATTAATGTTTACTTGAATTCTTTATATATACCAGATTATGTATCATAGCCCTGAAGGCGCATTTTAATTTTATAATTATTTTATTTTGTATAATATTTTTGTATATTATTAATAATTCTCGTTCATCAGTAGTTCCGATAAACTTCAATGATTTCATCATGAGTTACCTCGATATCCTATAGGTACACAGTTTCAGAAAAATGGAAACATTTTAGAACATTTTGTCCACCATTTTAGATCCGGTATTTTTAAATTTGATTATGTTTTCATTAATTTCACAAGTAATGACCTCAAAAACCTGTATATACATATTTTTAGAACAATCTACGAATTTTTACATTTTTTGTCCGCCATATTGGGTCCGTTATTTTGATTTTTACAAGTTTGACATTAAATTCGTAATCAGCGACCTCAAAAACCTATAAATACAAGTTTGGAAACAATTCTGCCTAGCCATTCCAGAGCGTCGCTAAAAACAAAAAACAAATAGTTTTCTCGGTATGGCACCTCTTTAGCGACACGCTATCGGTATGGCAGTGTAACCCCCGCTAAAGTAATGCAACAGAGCATCTTAAAACCAAAAAGCCATACCGGTATCTATTATACATGTTTATTGCTAAAAATTACATGTTTGCCCCATTATGGCGGCCACTTGGCGACGCCTCAGAGGTATGGCGTTTTGAAATCTTTGTTTTACAGTTCATTATTATTAACAATGATCACGAAACAACAGCGTGGGGCCCATGATAAGTATGGCGGACCTTAAGTGACGCCATATTGGTATGGCATATTGAGTTCGCTGACTTTGGCGACCTTCTAGACGACATAAAACAAAAATCAAAGTAAGGCCTATGAGCCAGAGGCATGGATAAAAATTACACGTTTGAAAATTCAATCCCCCTAAAAGCTACACTTTAGGGGTGCCATACCGGGAATTCAAAGTGGGGAATAACGTTATCTATTACCCCTCAAAGCCTCGGTGTGGGGCCTATGATACATGCAAAAACCCTCTCGGCTCCCGGTCTATATTATTGAAATCTTCATGTTCGAGAGCATCATGTACATTTACCACAAAAGTTTTCATATGCACGGTTAAATTGCACTTTAATGACATGAGTATAATTAGACGTTTGTGCCATTTTTGTTGCACAAATTAACTTGATCAATATCTCTTTTTATCGCTTATTAATAGAGAACTAGAACAGAAATGTAGATCTTGATTAAAATAATTTACAATCTACATAACACTTTCTGCCGATTAGGAATTTTAATCCTTCCTAAGAAAGTTGAAAGCTACTTAAATTGATCTTGAATTGTAAATAGTTTCTACCTGTAGATATTAGGTACATATATACCTTATTTTTGTTGCTTAAAATGACCAGAAAAGTTAAGACAAAAATTGGTATTTTTAAACTTTTTAAGAAGAAAACCAAAAATGTTATTTTGGAACAAATAATGCTAAACATTTTATATTAAAAATACATCGTTATTGATTATATATTGGGGTTTATCTCCTGGGTCAAACAAATTTTCAAATGAACTATACCTAGATGTGTTAGAGCTTGATTTTTTGTGAAGAACACATTTCGTCATAGCTATGCCACACTCAAATAGCTAAATAAATGCAACAAATGCAAATAAGTAACACTAAGCTAGTGAATGAGCGGTGATGAGCGGCAGGTGACTTCAATCACGTTTAAATCTGTCTGACCACGCCTACAAACTCAAACTGATTTCTGCACAATATGACGAAGTGTGCTCTTCATAAAAAAATCGAGCTCTACCTTGCAATAAAGCTTCATAGCTCAGCTCATTAGTGCGCTCATCTTTAGCGGGTTCGATAGCCGATAAAAGCAATGTTTTTATTTTGGAAAAAAAATATGAAGCGATACGACTATAGATCTTTATTTATTTTAAATACATTTAATTTATTTTTATGTAATCTCTACAGTAATCCGTTAATCTTTCAGCTATTTATTTTGTACTATTTTGAACGGTTATCACTTAAATGAATAATACGAAGTAGATAATGTAAACAAATAGGTAAAAGTGATGGAAATAAACCGAATATGAATATAACGCAGAGTTAGTTACATGCAGCAAGAGCACATACTCATTGTTAATCGAATCTGGGTTGTTTCTGAAAGAGGCCGATGATAATTATCGAACATATAGTTGTGGTTTTTAAATTTTCACGGTAAGAGTGATGTCATTAACACAGTATAGAATGCCTGCACAATTGAGAATAGGTGTTGGGAATTTTTTCTGAAAGACTTTCTCTAAGTGTACTTGCACAAACTAAACCAAGTAGTTGCGAAGACATGCAATGGTGATTACATTACAACAAATTTTTATGATATTTAGTAATATACAGGTTTTTTATTGCTTGTGGTATAGATATTGAGTTTAATTTATTTCGTAGAAGATGACCAGATTTAGGAGGTTGGATTCCCTTCTTTGATTATCATGACAATTCTCCGTACATAGGTTATCAGATTTTAAGCCTGCAGACTTTTTGAAAAACAAAATATAATCCAAACTATCCTTCCATAATAGTTTGTAGGTTTTTGCTCTCTACCAAGGTTACAGAAGTATTAACGCGGCTATATTTATCAAATAATATAATGGTGTGTACAAATATGAAACCGTTATGCCACTGATTTATCAAATAATGAAGCAATCTACTTTTCTCTAATAGAAACTAGCCAAATATAATGCTAAGATACCATTTACCAAAACTTTATTTTCTCTGTATCTGTAACTGTCACGTGTGGAGGGTGGGTTACCCCACGATACTTAGGTCTCACTAGGACCATTGGTGCCAGCCTACAGATTTAATGTAGTTGACAACGTAGCCGAAAGGTTCTTCTCTTATATCGGCTTTTGTTAGCTGATACTCGCCGAACAAAAATATTTTAATAAATGGTAGCGTCTTCTTATTGACACCACCTGCAAAGTAGGGATTCTGATATATCCATGATATGAAGATTCTTCCTTACAATGGCAAGTCAGAATGCCTGTGATCAGGCACAGATTATGTTTATTCATAGTCAAGTATTTGTTTGCTGTAGTGTTGTCAGGATAACTTAAAAGCTCCCTGAAAACTCTGCAGTTTCTTGTTTCATCCCATGTTTCCTTCAATTTCACAAGGGAATGTTTTTTAATTAGTTCTGCCACTACCAATTAAAGGGCCAGGTCCAGGAAATATTTGGTTAACTGCCTTCTTGGCTAATGAATCAGCAAGACGGTAATCTTTTTATGTGGCGTGACCTCTGATTCATCTTAAAGTGACCACATTGTTAATGGATACTTCGACCAGAGCTTTGTGACATTCTAATATTAACCCTGAGTAAATTTGTCTGGTCAGGGTGAGTAGTGCTACCTCTATAGATGAGCATGTTTCTTCCTGTGATATTGTTTCTGGTGCTTTCTTTTGCTGCTATGAAAATCTCCGTGAGCTCGGTGCTCACAGCATATTTTATGTTTAGGCTTAAAGATCAGGAGTATATTTTACATCCTAAGCATTATTTTGTAACTGTCGGTGTAGATATATGAATCCTTCCTGCCATTTCTGGCTCTTCTATTTGTTCTGTTATATCTTTATGTGGCTAATTGAAGATATATCTTAGTGAGATGGAGTCCATGTTTAATTAAAGCGAAGTCTCGCCTCACTAGATCCTACATCAGATTTTATTCCAACCGTGTGAAAGCTTGTCATTGTCATCAGAGCAACCTCCTTGATCTAAATATCAAGCAGTGCCGGATTTATATTTTTTATGAGTGTAGGCCACTTTATTTTCACCGCCCCATATACCTTTCTAAAATAATAATTTTCCATTTGTAGTAAGGAAGATACTAAAGTTAAATAAGCGAATGAATTAGTCATTAAGAAAGAGCTTACAAAAGAAACAAGAATTATATTTTTTTACGAAACTTTTTAATAGCAAAATCATCTATAATATCATCACAGTATATATGGTGTTTATTATCTCTGCTTCTTTGTAGAGAAGAGCTTAAGAATTCATTTTTTCTTGAGAGAATGAAGACCTTTGATAATTTTTCAGGCGTTTTAAACAGGAAAAACTTCTTTTCCTAGAACAATTTGTAGGCGGAGTGGAAAGTGCGATGCGGAGAGCTATATCCAAGTTAGGGTAAACATTAGACAGAGATTGATTCTTTAAAAACGTTGAGAGATAGTAGTGAGTTTGATCCACTATCTGTAGTTTTATTAGAGGAAATATGCCTGTGAAAATGTACACATTCTTGAACCAAATCGTCGTAATATAGATAAAATAGGTACAATAACAGTAGGTACCTAGGATTGATAATTTTCGATTGGAATGAGTTTCTATAGGGATTTTACGTATTAGTATAAAAAAACAATGAGAAAACCAGTGAACTTGTTTGACTTTTATTCTCTGAAATCAAGTAAGCGTCCTCTGAAATCTTTCGCCCCTATGATGCTGCCGCCCCTATGCCGCGGCCTATATGGCCTATTGACAAATCCAGGACTGATATCAAGAGGAGTGAAACTAAACTTCCATAGCTCTGGTTGGTGTGGTTTTTATGGCTACTGGTACGTTCGGACATGCCATTCTTTTAACTTGTTCTAGTTTTGCTTATATTTGTCAATTTTTGGGTTTTCGGTACTCAGACAACTGCACTGTGTGTTAGCAAAGGTCTTATAATGGCCGTGTAAGTCCATGTGGCGACTCTGGGTGAGAATCCTCAGGTTTGTCCCAGGATTTGGCAGCATTGTTCATAAATAATATATGCTCTTCTGACTCTGTTCTCTAAGTATGAGTTTCAGGTTAACTTGCTGTCAAATGAGAGACCTAGATGCTTCACCCCTATTGCAAAGTTAAGTTATGTGATTAGGAGCTCTGGAAATTTTAAAATTTTCTATTCTTGTTTAAAA